GCTCTGGTATAGGTTTTCCAGCTCGTCATCTTCATCATCTGTTCTTCTCGACATCCCAGAGTGTCCCGAGTGAGATGAGATCAACGGGTGTTCAGGCGGTACTGGTCGCTGTGGATATGGGTGTGGTGGGTATTCAAAGTTATTGGATATAAGCCGCGCAGGTTAGATGGTTAAACAAGATTCATCCCGGGGGTAAACGCGTCGATAGAATGTGGTATAGGTTCAAAGCAAAGGCGCACACGCAACAATCAACGGCAAGAGGTCCAAAAGCCTTGGACAGGAAAGAGATCATGATGCAAGGTTTCAAGCTTCATAGGGTTAGGGCAATGAGATCACTCCGCGAACGAGGACAGAATACAGATTCGATTGCTAGCTGGAGAAATAATTATACAATGGTAGGATAGTAGAGCTACAGGTAAGGAAATACACCGAGTAATAGTGAGTACAGCAGAAGAGCAAATGTTCGTAGAAGAAATTCACAGTTCGTGTAAAACATGAGAGTCATCGTGGGTGGTCGTATTGAACGAAGGACGGGAGTTGGTCGAGTGAATGTGGGGAGCGAGTCACTGGAGAAGGAGTCTAGGCACCCCTCTTGAGGATGGCCCTGAAATCGAGAATTGAGCCCCTCCTCTTCTTCAACGCGTTCATATGCTCCTTCATCTCTGAGGGCTGCTCAAAGTCATCCTCAGAATCCGTGTCGAATCTGGAAACTTCCGGCTGGAAGCTGTCAAGCATGAACTCCTGTTTGCCTTCCTTGATCAACCGACGCTGCTGCTCGGTGTCGACAACGGCGACGGATGGGAGCGGAGGAACAGCAGAGCCTGGCGATGAGACGGCAACAACGCGGCGCATCTTTTGCATGGCTGGGGTGACCTTGATGGGAGCAGGGCGCCTCCTGGCCTTTCCACGGGGCTTGCTAGACGCGGGAGCAGAGAACATGTTGGTGAATCGGGACGGGGAAAGAGGAGAGCGAGGGGACTTGGGAACGACACCGAACGCTTGCACATCGACCAATAGCTCGGGTTTCCTGAGATGCTTGGCAGCCCTGAAGGGTCGAGCAGGGAGACAGAGCAGAGCACCGTTCCTCTTCGAGGATGCGTTATTGGCTTTTAAGCTCTCTGTCGCATTCGTGCCAGCGCGCAGATCGAAGTCAAGGACGCGCTCGTTGTGGTAGGCTGGCGACTGTTCTGCCTGCATCAAATAAGCGGGGTCGAGATCCGAGTCGCGTGAAGAGAGAGTGGAGGCGCTTGGAGGGCGCACACCCTTGACCTTGGAGGGCTCGGGCGCGACGAGAGTGTCTTCAGAGGAGCGGCCTTGAGTCTGGACAGGAGAGTTGGCGGGGAATTGCACCCAGTTGGAGGTGACATTGCCTGCTTCCGATCCACTGTCGACATCGGTCCCATTTTCGACAAGGAGAGCCTGGTATTCCATCTCCTCTTCACGGTCCCACCAGACACCACCCTTGCCGTCTCGGTAGACATCCCCAACAGCGCCATCGGGAGCAACCATGGCCCGGCGGATGTGGTCGTTCATCCTGCCACCGTCCACGAATTGCATGAGGGCGAGTTCGTTCTGGAGAGTGGGAGGTGCGCGAACGAGAGGTCCATAGACAGACCTCTTTGCCTGGGAGGGCTTGGAGATGGCGTCCTTGTTGATCTTGCCCTTGGGTTTGGGCTTCGAAGCGACTGGCATAGGAGGCATAGGAGGAACGTCGGGTACAGATTGCTTGGAAACGGACTTGCTTCGAGTCCTCAGGTTGGTGAGTGACTTGATCTTGTTCATGACCTTGTCCTTGCGTCCCTTGCTCTGTTCTTTGGCACGTTCCTTCTCGTCAAGTTTCGCTTGAATCAGAGCCTGTTCGCGCATGGCCTTCTCGCGAACCAAAGGTGAAGGGGTTCCGGGCGTCACTGGCATGTTGACGAAGACGTTATTATAGCCGACAGCAGTAAAATCAAAAGTCTTGTGTGACGCAGTGGTAGGAGTTTGCGTGACAACGTATGGGCTCGAGACCGCTCGGCCGTGTTGAATGCCAGAGTGACCCAAGGTGAGGGAAGGGCGCCGACGGCTGGATCCGGACGAGCGGCGGTTTGGAGAGCAAGGAGTGGGTGGGGCGGGTGAGCCTGGCTGAACAATTGCAGCCCAGGCAGAGATCTTTGCGGAGCGATCCTGAATAGGATTCGCGACAGGGACGGCGGGCAGAGGCTGCGTTGGTGCCCGACGCTTTGGGGGAGGTGGTTGGGAAAGGAAAGCGTAACCAGGAGCTTTATGCTCATTAGTGTAGACAATAGTATTGTGGAAAGCCATAGCTGTAAATGAGAGTTAGCCTGAGTATCAGAATATGAAGGGAATTACTCACCGATCGTGAACAAGAAAAGACTGAGAAGAGAAAAGTTAGAATGTGAAATGAGGAGAAAAGCAAAAACCAGGCGAGTCTAGCTCAAGTAGGTTGCTGATTTTCAGGCAAGACCGGTGGGACCTTATAATCCATATCCACAACAAAAGCCAATGAAATTGAACAATAACTTGAGCGCTGTCAATGTGGTTGAGTTGCATTCTCTCGCGTCAACATGTTGGCCAAACAAGCCATTGTCCATCAATGATCGCTTTGTGTACAACGCAAGCCAAATAGAGCCACCCAAACGCCGCTCTTCGTCCGCCACCCTTATTCTCCAGGCGCTGGCCACCTTCCGAAGCTGTACTTCGTTCCTTGAATAATGATACCAAGTTCCCATGTGTGCGTTCTACGTCAGAAGACGCTCGGTTGATCTTCGCAATCATCTGTGTGGTTATTGTAAGGAACGAGCGAAGTGCCCGAGACCTCGCAACGCGCGCGCCCACGCTCGCCACTTACTCTTCTGTTGATCCCCTTGCTTGTATTCTCATTAACAGCCCGGATAGGGCTAGAGCTGAGAAGTTTGAGATAGCCACATGATGTCCTTCTTCCTCACCAGTGACGGCAGCCGATGTTTGAGCAAAACAACAGAAGTTGAGACGGGTTGGAAGCCCGCTCTCCGCCCTCGTTGCTATTCTTTGGTATATCGCATACTTGACAAGCTATAGCTACTTTTCTCACATTCCTAGCTGCTTTTTAAATGCGCCCACCCATTGGACAATTCAGCACAGTAGTATCCTAACAAAATCTGTCAGAGGGCAAAGTCTAGAAAACGTTGATTAGGAAAACAACTAAGTATTTGCAGCCGCGTATCATGATATCCTTGAACAAACACAAGTCTCCCGCACTACTGACGCATAAGGCCGATGTTGGTCAAAACTAGAGTTGACACCGATACGAGGCTGTAATGGGAGGTGCCACTCGTCTTTGGCACTATGTCCAAATTTAGTGATAACCTCCGAGAATGCGAAGACGTTTGCGCTGTGAAGACCCAGCCAATGCGATGCACCGGACTCGAAGGTGGTATCCCACCAAATTGCAGCCTGATCGTGTAGTCGCTGAGTAAGTGCAGGAGGCCGTGGATGTTCAATGCAGCATGCGGCAAAATGCTGAACATTGATCACGACCACCAGGTCCCCTACGCGCTCCGCAGGGACAGTGGCAATAGAACTTGAGATCCATGGTATGTCCCCTGCTAATTGCCATACATTGACGCCGACTTCGAACAGCCTGAGAACCCATAGGGAACCCAAGTCGAGTGTCGGAAGCGGGGGATCTGAGGCACGATACGCGAAGCCAGGGGAAAAGAGGTGAAGGCATTGAAGGGTGAAAGAGGATTGCTGGATGAATGGACTGTAAACGGGAAACACAGCAAGGCCGTCTGCAGACCACATGGCAATGTGCTTGAGGGATTTGTACTCCACGATGCTCCCTGGCGACGACAACGACAAATGCTCTTGGGATAACGCTCGAGACATACCAGCGAGCGTAAAGCTTTCCAGGTTAGGCCAATCCCGAATAGTTTTGTCGATGGGCTGAAATCCTATGGCTTTGATAGTTTTGTTGAGGTAGACGAAATGCTTCAAAGTGGAAGGGCAGTATTGGACGATGTGTAAGGGGCATTCGAGGATGTCGACCACAAGGGTTTCCAGACGATCTGCTTGCATCAGCATTTGGAGGATTGATTCTTGCAACTCTCGGGGAAGAGCACTCCAACGAGGGAATTCGAGTTTCAGAACAGTCAAATGTGGATAAGATGATGAGAGAATCTCAATCCACTCCTTTCGCTGGGTATCAGCGAGTCGCCTATCTCTCCTACTAGGACTATCCCCTTGGTTGAAGCAAAGGGAGAGACTTTGAATAAAATCCAAGACAGAGGGGTAGCGGCGCGCCAAGGCCACAAATCGCGTTGGAGTCTTCTTCCGATGGTCTTGACGACGTTCCTTTGCGCTTTGCGAGCGGACTTCAGTGGATCGAAAGAGGAGAATGCGACAATAAGATGCCAATGCGCGACAGGTCCTTCCGACAGCGGTGAGGTTGCGCATAGATGCTGGTGTCCCTTCAACGAGGTATTCGCCGATGATTATAAACAGGATTTCAAACGGCAGGTTGGGTGCCTGCAAGCTGCTTGCGGCTCCTCGGCGCTTGTCCCCGTGCTTTGAAAACCTGGCTTTGAGGGTTCGGAGCATATCTGTGGCACCAAGAATGCTACCTGACAAAGGGGTAGACCTGCCCGGGGGGGGGGGGGGGGGGGGGGGGGGTGGGGGGGTGAAAACGAAGGAAAGAGCGTAGATTTGTCATTCTCAGGACCTCGAATCGGGTCGAAGGCGGCGCTTTGATGCGATCATACTGGGCTGATGCCATTGGGCGCTTAAATTCGGCTTACCCTTACCATCATCTCTCGTTCATTGGGGACCAGCATGTAATAAGCCCAGCCAAGAAGCAAGAGATCATTTCTACGAAATATTTACGCTATGAATGGCGCTGCGTTCAACGGTGGCTATGGCAAATGCTCTGACCGTGAGATATATGATCTTCCTGCCCCCACGTCTCATTCTTCAGCCCATTCAAACGCAAAATCATGAAGACGAAATGGAGAAAAAAGTAGTTCCGATACGGGGAATCGAACCCCGAGCTACCGCGACAACGGGTTAGGTTCCTCATCTTTGAAAGGCGGTAATGTTAGCCGTTACACCATATCGGATTATAAGTCGGGCTGACTGCAAGGGTTATCAATGGCTTTCAGCTTTCCAGGATGTTCAATTCCAAAGGGCTCAAGAAAATGCGGTACCGGCGTAGCGTTGGAATGGGAACAGTGACCCATTTTGCAGACGAAGACGCAGGTATATCGCAGAGTGACTGGGATACACGAAGGGGGTCCAGAGATCGTGAAGAGGGTCCAATTTGTGATAGGAAATTGAAGGAGATCTAAGTTCAAGACCCTTTTGAATGCATTATGTGACATGCCCGTTCTGAGAAGATGGCACGGGATGCACCCCAAACGCGCACGCGAATAAAGCCATCTATATTTCCAAGCAAGTACAGAACCTCTTTAAGAGTATCGAATGAGAAGATGTACCAGGCCGAGACGATAGCAAAGGACGAGGCTCGGCGAGCCTCTTGCCATATCGCGTGATACACTCGGAGAACGCATAAATGCTGGCCTTGTGGCAAATAATGGACCAGTCTGCTTGGGAGGCCTTCCACACGTCCGACATATAGCAATGGACGAGCTCTATGGAAGGCCAAAGAAAGTGAAAGGTAGAGTCCTGGACACAGATGATGAGTGTTATGCCATTGATGTCCGAGTCGTCCGGACAAGGTGAAGAGGGGATGGTAGCGACCGATTTTGAGATCCATTGCAGCCCTTCTCTCATCGCGACAACGTCGAAGCCTACTTCAAAAAGCCGGAGGACGCAGAGAGAGCCCAAGTCAAGACTTGGAAGGGGCTCTTCTACTATGGAGGAGCCAAAGCCAATAAGGTGAAGACATTGGAGAGTCGAAGAAACCTGCTGGATGAGGGTTCCGAATCCAGGAGCAAAGGCCTGGAGGCCATAAGGAGACCACAACTCCATGTGGTTCAGCTGTTTCTGCTCCGACACAATGGATGGTACTAGGTGCGACGCCCAGTCTTGCAGAGCTGGTCTGTCGCCCCCTATATATTTCAGGCCTTCCAGCCTTGGCCTGTCTCGAGCAGGCGGACAGATGGAAACGTTTCCAGAGCGGCAGAAGTCTCCAACATATTCCAGGTGCTTCACAGTGGGCGGACAGTACTGTAGAATGTCGGGTGGGGACCCCACAATGCCCAGTCCAAGGATTTCCAAGTGCTCCGCCTTCAGAAGCATCTTGATAAATGCCTCCTTTCCTTCCTGATAAAGGTCAGGCCAAAAGGAACAGTTGAGCCTCAGCACCCTGAGGTTCGGGTACGATGCTGCCACTACTCCCAGCCATTCTCTCCGCCCAACGGCGGCATGATGCGCAAGGGCGTTAAGTAACTTGTCTCTTTTGCGATGCTGGCTTTTGTGAAGGTCCAAGGACAGATGCTGGACAAGGTCTAGGTCGCGGGGGTAGCACCGCGCAAGATCTGCGAAGCGTCCAGCAGCGCTTTGCTTGATCTCGCCCGAGAGCTTGATCCCACTGTGGAATTGCGGCGACAGATGGACGGAGCGAAAGAGGATAGCACGGCAGTAGATGGCCAGCTCCTTGCATGTTCTCCCAAAGCTGGTGAGCACGGCGGTTCTTGTATGCGGTGTCTCTGCATCGTTGAGCCCCTCGTCGATGATCTGGAAGAGGATCTCGAAAGGAAGTTTGGGGTCCTGAAAGATGAGTTTGTCGGGAGGGTGCTGTATCGATTTGATTTTGAGTCGCTGAAGCATGCTAATCGAACGAGGGAGCAACTTAGGACGGTCTTCGTAGAGCGACCATTTAAGCAAAAGGGACGCACTGCCTTGGTTCTCAGGCTGTCGCAGTCGAAGATCTCATGGGTCGCCTACGAGCTGCGGCTTCGGGGACAGTGCAGATGATACGGTCCCTGTAATGATGATCAATGAACGTTGATGCAGGTGTATTTACAGAGACATGCTTTTCATCGCGAGTTATTGGCTACTGAGAAGGGTGAAGGGGGGTACTGCTCAGTCGAAAGAATATGAATCTCCTCTGCTGAAATGGCGCTGGGGAAACCATTGTTCAAATGCCAGCAATCCTCTCTTGTACTCCAAAGCAAGTGCAGAAACTTTTTAAGAGTGTCGGATAAGCCACACTCTCTCTCAGGAGACCGGTGGGGCTAACAAACGGTGGAAGTGGGCGAGGCTTTTCATGCCGCTTCCCATAATGCTCGACATACTCAGAGAATGCGTAAACATTGGCGATTTGGTGGATGCAGGGCCAGTCATCCGCTTGAATATCCATCCAATGGTTTAGAGTATGCTCATGGGCACCGTCTGCAGAAGGCCAGTAGTTGGGAATGTAGGCAGGTGCCTGTATACAAACGATCAACGTCATGCCACCCGAATCTGCCGCACGACGTTGAAGGGGAATGGTGGCAATGGATTCTGAAACCCATTGCAGACTTGACTTCAGCATAGTGACGTTGATGCCAACTTCGAAGAGCTGGAGGGCCAAGAGACCCCAACACAAGGTGCGGGTACATGTTCAAATAGACCGTGACATTGGGCCCAAGGAGGTGAAGACACCGGAGAGTAGCAGAAGCCGGTGTAATGATGGGCCCGAAGGTATTGAAACCTGTGACGCCATTCGCAGACCACAGCTCCAGGTGTTCCAGGGATTGCAGTTCCAGCATGGACGCCATCTGTAATGACCAACTTTTCTCTATAACTGAGCTGCCGTCGGCCGCCCATACGAAGCCTTCCAGTCTCGGCCTGTTTCGAGCCGGCGGATTGATGGGAAGCTTTTCTCCCGCACAGTGCCCGACGAAGCTTAGGTGCTTCACAGTTGGAGGGCAGTATTGCAAAATGCTGGAAGGGCACCTGCCAATGTTCAATATGAGGATTTCCAACCTTTGTGTTTGTAAGAGCATCTTGATGACTGCCTCCTTTACTTCTCGGTGAAGGGTACGCCAGTAGGAACAGGCGAGTGTCAGCACCTTGAGGTTCGGATACGATGCTGCCATAATGTCCAACCGCTCCTTCCGCCTAGAGAGGGCTTGACGTGTGACGACGTCGAGTAGCCTGTCTTGTGTGTGAGGCCAGCTTTGATGCAGACCCAAGGATAGATGACGGACAAGGTCCAGGTTGTGAGGGTAGCACCGGATGAGGTTTGCGAAGCGCCCAGCGGGGCTTTGCTTGAGATCGGTGGAGGAATTGACGCCATCGTCAAAGTCTAGCTGAAGGTAGACGAAGCGAAAGAGAAGAGTACGGCCACGAATGGCCAGCTCCGGACATGTCGTCGCAAAAGTCTTGAACACGACACCCCTGGCTTGCGGCGTCTCTGCCACAGCGAACTCTTCGTCCACAGCTTGGAAAAGAACATCAAACGGTAGCTTGGGTATCTGAGAGATGACTGTCTCTGCTTTGAGCTGGAGCATGATGGTGGTAGTGCCTGTGAATTGGATAGACGGTCGAGATTTTGAGAAGAACGCACCGCCTTGGTTCTCAGGCTGTCGGGACTAAAGACATCTCGACATCATGTTCAAGGTCACATAGAGTCTCGAAGACGGTACTGGGGACGAATGATTCTTTGAGCGCTCTGTGCTGTATGTCTGCCTGTCAGGGGAGATGCCGAGAAATGTGGGGTGTTATTAAAGGAAAAGTGAGGCTGTGAAATAAAAAGGTGGGGTTGTCATGAAAAGGGTGTTATTGACGCAAAAAGGTGGTATGGATCTGTCCTGATAATATGTCCCATGGGAAGGCCAGTGCAGAAGGGTCGACAACTGCTGGCTTCAAAAGTTAGTGATCCTCTCTTGCATTCTGAGGCAGGTACAGAACCTGCTCAAGAGTGTCGAATAAGCCACAGGCGAATAGGCCGGCGAAGGCTCAAACAGGAGGCGGGTGGCTTCATGGGGTAGCAGCAATGGACGAGGTTCTTTATGTCGCTTCCCATAAAACTCGATATACTCCGAGAACACGGAGACACAGCCATTCTGGTAGATGTCAGGCCGGACGTCTGCCTGAACAGCCGTCCATATGGCCGAAGCACGGTCATGGACAACATCTGCAGAAGGCCATGAAAGAGGGCTGTACGCAGGTGCCTGGACACAGATGATCAACGTCGCGCCCCTCGAATCAGCTGCACAATGTCGAGAGGGAATGGTAGCAAAGGTCTTCGAGATCCATTGCAGACTTGGCCTCAGCGCCAAGATGTTGGTACCAACTTCAAGGAGCTGCAGGGCATGAAGAGAGCCCAAGTCAAGAGCCGGAGAAAATATGTCAAAGCTGTAGTGCGGCTCCTCAGGTCCGAGAAGGTGAAGGCATCGGAGAGTCGCAGACGCCGGTTGGACGAGGGGTCTGAAGGTATTGAAGCCCATGAGGCCATTCGCGGACCACAGTTCCATGCATCTCAGACCTTCAAGCTCCAACACGCACACCATGTATGCCAACCAGCCGTCTCCTGGAAGTGTTCGGTGGTCGACTGCTAATTCGAAACCTTCTAGCCTCGGCTTTTCTCGCGTTGGCAGGCCGATAGGAAGCTTTCCCCCAGCAAGCTGTCCGAGGTAACTGAGGTGCTTCACAGTGGGAGGGCAGTACTTTAGGATGTCGAACGGGCATCTGTCAATGTCCAATGAGAGGACATCGAGAACCTCCGTCTGCAAGAGCATCTTGATAACCGCTTCCTTTACTTCTTGGTGAAGGGTTGGCCAGAAGGAACAGGCAAGCGTTAGAGCCTTCAGGTTCGGATATGACGCTAGCATGACGCCGAGCCACTCCCTACGCCTAACAGCGTCGTGACGCGTGACAGCGTTAAACAGTCTGTCTTTTGTACCCAGCCAACTTTTGTGGAAGTCCAAGGATAGATGCTGGACAAAGTGCAGGTTGCGAGGGTAGTGCCGGGCGAGATGCGCGAAACGCCCAGCGCGGCTTTGCTTGAGATTGGTTGCCTTGATTCCGCTATCAAAGTCCAGCTCAAGGTGAACGACGTGAAAGAGGAGCGGGCGGCAGTGAATGGATAGTTCACGGCACGCTCTTCCAATGTTGGCCAGCACAGCGGTTTTGGCTTGCGGTGTTTGCGCCGCAGCGAACTCTTCGTCGA